GGACTCGAACCCGCGACCACGTTATGTGCGCGACGTGCAACGGGAACGCGGAAGTTTTATGGCTACAACGTGGTCGGGTAAGCGTTAGGTCGGATGACGTGTGGGTGTGACCGCGGATTAAGGTTAGGTTTGCTATTTTTACCCTACTTTTTTAAATGCTTTGGGTCCTGTTTTACTTTGAATCGTTGAATTAGTGATTGTTTTAGTGATTCGGTAAGAATTTCTTATCCAGTAATATATTTTTTCACATTTTTCCGTCGTTAAATGAATTTAAACGCTACTACTTGCCAGTTTTCTAGACATGTAAAATATTCGAGAAAATTTCAAAAGCATTAACTCCATTAAAAAAATCCTTAGTAGTATCATCAGATAATTCAGATTGAAAACGTATTTACGCAATCGCTTAATATTTCTGTTGCACTTTTTTAATGCAGGTTACTGAAATATTATATAGATTATGGTGGTCATGAATTTCAAACAATGCAAATTCAAATTATTTGATTCCAACTTCATTATAACTGTACTAGCCCACTTTGCACTTTTTTCTTTCATGTATCAACTATTGTTGTTCGACTCAAGTGAAGCGATCGGGCTAAACCACATATCTTTAAGTTTTGTCTACCAGAGGAAAACAAATTAGTAAATTGAAACGTGGTTTAGTATTATATACATTTCTGGCTGCATTCTGTACACATATCATAGTTATATAAACATGTTTGATTAGAATTTCGATCTAATGTTTGTTTTTTAGCAGACATTCTAAGACCATTACTCTGTGTTTAGGTTAGCTCCACCTTCCACAGACCCCTTCAATCGTAAAATGAATCAATTCTGTAAAATGTAAATAAATATGATTTACATTGTTGTTATTTGTCGCACAATTTCAAACGTTGGTTAAAATAATCATATCTGACTAAATGTTCAGAGATGAAAAATTTGTATATCTAGTTTCGTGTCACTTACAGTAGGTCATTCCTCATTTCTTTCTATGTATATTTTCGCAGGGATAATACATTTGAAATATTATATTCAGGCCATAGTTTAATCAAATATTGATGCAATAGTTGTTATGGGATTACTGTATTCTATCGTGAAATTTTTGTATTGTTTTTCTTATTTTCTCTAGCTATTCAATGTATTATAATTTTCTATGATGTACTTGTTATACGTACAATGAATTATAACGTATAATAATATTCTTCCGATACTGAATGTGGTCTGTTAATTTACTCTTCCAAAACACTAGAAGACAAAAGAAGATGTTTATTATTACGTCAATGACGTACTGCGTAAGATTAATTTCGTTTCATAGAAAAAATATTTCACAAAAGCACTAACTCGTACAGTTTTTTGTTAAAACAATGTTATCAGTTATTGAGAAAATTGACCAAGTAATTCAGAAACCCATTTAATAATTACTTATCATAGAATAGTATTGTAATTCATACAATACACGTATTTTAGGCTACGTAAAGAATCGAAAATTTTTAACATATTCGAAATTAAATATAATGTTATCACTTGCCTGTAATGTCAAAAGTTCTTTCTTCAAAAAATAGCAGTAGTCTCCATAGATTACATTGACCTTGACAACGAGTTTTCAAAGTCCTAATGTCCTTTTGAAATCTCTGTTCCCGTTCAAACTGTGCGAAACCTCATGACTCAGTAGAACTGAGCAATTTCTTCTGTTAAATTTTGAATTTTCATACTTTTTATTATCTAAAAACCCTTTTATCACCTTTACATGCGTTTTATGAGCTACTACATTGATTACGCTATTATTTAAAGACAACGTTAAATATAACTTTTTCAATTTGATGTCTAAAAATGTCCTCTTTAAGTTAGGCTACACTTAACTATGGAAAAGTCATATTGCACGTTTAAAACGTTAACTGTTTCATCCAAGCATTACAAAAATGTTCATAACTCCTAATTTAATCCTAACCAGCAAACCACCGTCACGCTGAAGGTTCAAGTTCTAGTTATGGTTCCTCTATTAAACCTTCTTACTGAAACATGAAAAAAAAAATCCTTTCACTCTGTAAAATTCTGAATAAATCACATTTCCTTTCCTGAAGAATGTAATACTTGTTCCATGTACCCATAGATTCCAATTCTGCAATTTAGAGTGAGACGTCCAGTCTTTTGCATTGATAGACCCCAGATGTCTCACTAAAACATGGAGTTCGTTTGACGATTAAACGCTCCCTGGAACTGTTAGGTCTGTCGTTAGGGTCAAAAATGTGTCCTGAGAAGTGTATTTTTACCATTTTGTGATTCATCCATAATTCTTGACTTCTGAATGTTAACGTATTTCCAGCTGAATAGAGAAGATGGTACAGGTACGCCTTCTACACGAGAAACTTGTCTGAGAGTACAAAAGTTATCGGTTATTCTATTTCACGTTTTAAAAACATCGCTCTGTAAAACTACAGTAGCAATCATCACAATGAGCCTTGGCACACCATAAAGATACCAAATGGCATTACGTTTCTGTTGCATTTCATACAGTGAATATGAGTCATATTGCACTTACACAATATGGACGTGGAGCCTAACTTTTGTCTTGATCATCGAACTTGAAACCAAAATACGCACAATAAACTTTTTTAATCATTGTGCTAAACATGTCATGCGATTTTAATGTTAATCGTCAACAAATATAACAAAGATATTCGAAACATTTTTGAAATGTCGATGATAAAACTTCTCATTTGTATGATAATTGGAAATGAAAAAATATTCAACTACTCTTAACAAAGGACATCTTAGCCGGTCAGATCGTTAGGGCAGTAGTAACGTCCATTCCTCCAGGGCTAACAACCTTGGTGCATAAACATTGTGATTCAGCTAAAATGCCGATCAACACACACACAGCCCAGAAAAGTGCTTGCACCTGCTGAAGCAGGATGCACACGTGGTCTGAGTTGGCCTATACAGGAAAAAAGGAATCCTATTACTGGAATAAGAACCATAAATTTCAGCCATATAGATGTATCAGATAGTATTTAGATACCCACACTACTGCATTCTCATCCCTAGCATGTAAAATTGCCAAATGTGAATGTGTAAAAGTGGTGGAACTTCCTATGTGCTTATATTTACATAAAAATAAACACAAATAACAAAACTGATAGTTTGGCCTTTATTACCGAACCACAGCTGGACAGTGTAATAAGACTTGCAATTTCGTATAACAGTGCAGTTTCGTGCAACGCAGATATTGCACATTTACAAAATAATAACAAATTGTCTAAAACAAATTCTTATGAAAAATTACTAACGATTCGCGGTTTAAAAGTAATGCTCACTTACGAGAAGAATAAGTATATATTATAAGTAAAGAAAGAAAATGTAGGTAAAGAAACAATTTTTTAAACCCTTCCCCGATGTTCCTTTTCGCAATTCTTAAATACTACCATTTTACAAACTAATTTAAATAATGTAGCTAACATTAGTAATTTAGTTAGAGTGCGAAGAATAATGTTCTCAGTGTAGCCACTGTTCCTGAAAGATATCAAGGTCAAATGGTCACATTTCGTCAACAAATTTAAATAAATAAATTCGTCAATTGCTATGAAAGGTTATCGTATGAATGTCATGCGACATTGATGTAAATCATTAATTTTTGTAATAAAATTATTAGTGCGTGGAAATGAAATAAAACATTCTTCTAAATCTTAAACACGAAAACAAAGAAAATGTGGTATAACTTAAGAAGTTATAGAAAAGACTACAAATTTAAATAAATAAATTTGACTATTGCTATGAAAGGTTAACGTATGAATGCCATGCGGTATTGATGTAAATCATTAATTTTTGTAATAACTAATTATTCTGTGGAAATGAAATAAGATATTCTTCTAAGTCTCAAACACAAAAACAAGAAAGTGTGGTAAAACTTAAAAATTTATAAAAAATACTTCATATAGGTTGTATTGACTGCCATCGCAGTGCCTGAAAGTTCGATATATCAAAAGTGAGAAGACGCACGATGAGGCGGTTGTAACTCCATCTTCCTCGATGCAGTTAGTTCCGGGGTATTAGTCTTGCTTGCTGCTCCATAATGTGCAAGCAACAAGTAGAAGGGCGTTGGCAAAGACGCAGGGCCAAATTTGCCATTAAGGGTATTAAGAGAACATGTTAAAGTCTCAAGTTGATACTCCTGAATGGTCGACTTGACTGGTAACATATGAACTCCGCAGAAGCTTAGTACATTATTTACAGTAGACAAAGACTTCAAATAAAAATAAATAGCCTTAAAAAAGATAATATTAAAGAGATTATTTTTTTTTAATTAGTGTGTTTCGTATTTAACGTAACATATAAGTTTTCTGGCTTTTGTACCTATGGACTTTTAGAATGTAAGTGTGGCTTTTGCAAAAATTACAAATAACTTCCTTTATAAATAGAATGAAACATCAATTAATTTAGAAAATAAAATGGTACCGGAGGTAAAGAGCTCAGATCAAACATTACAAATGTCGAATATATAACGTTATTTAAAACACTAAGACAGAAAGAGAACTATATTTATGTCTTGTTTTCATACAATTAAGCACTACGTAAAAAGACGTGGTCGCATAAATATATTTAATAAAACAAATTATAAATAAATAACAAATTGACATATTGACTTAAAAAGTGGTTTCTAATTTTCATAGAATACATTAAGAAATAATTTTATTCCATATCGACGAATTAAATTAGGTAGACACTATTAATTCAGCGTAGCTTTGAGAACGATGCGCGTGTTATTCTTTTCGTGACGTTGATGTACTCGAGGGCTGAATAGGCGAGTAACTTCCTATTCATGCCCGCAAAGTGAGTGAACATTTCGCACGCGCCGGTATTGGCCCGGCGACCTTGAGTGTACGAAACCGGCACACGTCCGACACTATTCACGACAGCCCCATCACTGTCACCCTTACACAACGGATGACGCCAGCGGCAGACGGCATCGCCGGAAGCCAGGCGGCGCGGCCGGGAGTCGCACTCACCGATGACAGTGGCGAGGATGAGCAGGCCCAGCACGAAGGCGGTGCCCACCATCACCAGCAGCTGCACGGCGGGGTCCTCGGCGAACAGGCCCGTGTCGTTGGCGGCCTGCGTGGCGTTGTCCCACGCGGCGGCGGCGGCGTCGGTGGGCGTTGGCGGCGGCGGCGGCGGCGCCGCCTCGGGCCCGCGGCGCACCAGCAGGTCGTCATGGGCGCGCCGCCGCCGGCCACCGCCGTCGTGGCGCGCCGTCGCGAATCGTTGATCAGCTCGATCACGTATTGCTCGCAGCACGACGACCTTCGTTCGTGGGCATGGCGGCGACTGGCAGCCCGCCGCGAGCCGACCCGGCCCCGGCCCCGCCCGGGCCCTCTCCGCGCGCCGGCCCGGCCCCGCGGGACGCACGCGCGCGTGTGCTCGGCGGAGAGGGCACGTGGCGTCGGCGAGCGGACGGGACGCACGGGGGACACGCGGGCCGCGCGCGACGGGGGGCCACACGCGCTAGCGCGGCGTCGCGGGTCCCGCCCGCTTCGCCCGGCCGCCGCCCGGCGCCCGCCTATCTCGCCGCCGCCGCCGCGCCGCCTCGCCCCTGGACGCCCGGAAAGCCGCCGCCCCGCGCCGCCCGTGGCGTACGCCTGCGCTGCTGCTCTGCCCCGCCGCCGATGCGCGCCGACTCGCCGCCGCGCTCGCGTGCGAGGGTCGCGGGCCGCCGGAGCACTGCGCGGGCGGCCGCGCACCGCCGCGCCGCCACCGCCCGCGCAGCGCTGCGCTCGGCGCCGGCGCCCGCCCGCCTCCCCCTCCTCGCCCGCCCCCGGGACGCCCCGCCCCGCCGTCCGCGGGCCGCGCCGGGCGTCGCATGGGCGCCGGGTACGGGCCCTGGCCGCGCGCGTCGTCGCCGCCGAGCCGCGCGCAGATACGGCTCTCGGGTGACAGGCGGCGGTGTTAAGGCGGCGCGAGCAGCCTCGTGTGAATTCGATATTCTCAGGATCCCCGCACGGTCCGCTTCCATCGGGAATCAATTGCCCCTGCATCGTATTTAATACTTTCCCTGCTTCGACAGCCGCGCTGTGAAGTGGTCTGCGGTTTTCCATACTCGACACAGAAATAGCGTCAGTTTTGGATGTCTGGGAGTCGCGAAGGATAAAAAATTTGAAAAGAACGAACTAAAATACAAACATTTTTAAGAGCAGGTCTCTAAACATGTTATATTATTCCTCATTGCCTCACAAGTTTGTGAATGTAAAAATAATTTGAAGTTTTATTCCCATATTTAACATGCATAATTTCCAAACAATTTGAATATCATGATGATTACGTTTTATTAAGTCGTATTTCGATCATGTTTCAAAATATCAACAAAAGGTTACTGTTTGGGACAATATTATTCACACAATTATAGAATGATAACATTATGAATAAATTGCTCGTAATAACATAATAATTTTACTGAAGTTGACTCAATTACGTTAATTATAAAACCCGTTGTGATGATAACAACACTGAATATCTCAACGTAATAATCGTTACGTATATTTTAAGTACGATAGAAGAATATAGCCATCATCCTGTTTTGAACATTTCCGGTTTGTGGTATAATGAAATGAATGAACGAAATGCTAATTAGGCAGTCGCTTAATCTCTTGCGCAATGTGCGACAAATAAAACCACTATAAAAGAACAATAATCGCATTCTATTTGCTCGAGTCATTTATTTACTAAAGGTTGCAAGTGAATAGTGTAAGTCCGTAAACATTGTAGACAGTGATTACTAAGCACAGGGACCAATGCCAAATTTAACATGACATATTGAGCACTTTCTAAACAAACTACTGCAGAGTGGGGGTAATTAAGGGGTGAGGTTCCCCTCCGTGCTTCCATAGTTGGTATGAAGGTATAAGAGTAAATGATAAAATGATCCAAAGCAATTACGTTTTATTTACACGAACACTAATAACATTACAATAGACAGTGTATACAAGTTGTAATACACAATGCTTCTGATTCCACGTCGATTATCTTAACCCTGCAGCTGTGAAGTACTTGTATATCATTCGTCCACTTCGTTCAACTTCAACACGCAACTTTGAAACATCATATGTGTCTGTCGTGTACCTCTTTAACTCTCGTCCCGTACGAATAGCGTACGTCGGCAAACTTTGCCGTCAATGACCCGCGGCGAGCTTCTGCTTTGTCCTTCCTGGGGGACTGTCAGGGTCATGGTCAAACTGTCAGGTTAGACATGACGCATCTGTCCTTTCTCGAAGACTCGTGTATTGCTAATGCTGCACAGTCACTTCTGTGGCGGTGTATCTACAACCAGTCAGCTCAAGTACGGTTCCGTTGCTGGAGTCGGGTTAATTCCTACACTGTGGATACATGATCAACTAGAATGTGAGACTCTTCTTCGAAAGAAGAAAAAGAAATTCTGATTAGCATTACTTGTTAGTGATAATTCCAAACGTTATGAGTATAAATTTTCTACTTTGCTCTACATATATTTTAATAGGACGTTTGTACAGTAAGAAAGAGATATAATAGTTCTCGATTCAAAAATGTTTGAAATTTGTAAACTCGACTCTGGGCTGTTTACTCATCATCTGAATCCTAGCAAGTCCTTTCATTACAGACATTACATATTTTTTTAAAATGTATGTAGTGTTTCAAGATTCTATTATCTGTATTATTTTTTTAATTCTTAGTTACAAAATTTCTATTACTTAACTTCCCAAAATATGCAGACGTATAGGGATGTAACATATGGACGCAACTCGCAATATGCATTAGTCGCAGAGAAGTGTCTGCCGTCGCAATCAGGTGGGAAGTTCATTCACAAATTTGAAGGCACACGGGGTAAAATGAGAAAATATTTGGAATATTTTTTGAAAAAGCACTTGGAATAGATTAGAATTGAATGGAACCTTTTCATCCATACTCACGTTTCACCCAATGCACTATGCAAATGTTCCACGTTGTTTCTTAAGAAGTTACCTGATATCTATTAGATTTTCAACCATCGCTCGTGAAGAAGTGCAACATTCCGTGAAGTTATAATGTTTTTAATAGAAATATCCGACAAAGTATCATCATCAGGAAAAGTTTGCCGGTCCTGATGGCCGTGATCGTTAAGGCAGAAGTGTCGTAGCGATGTCGGACCAAAGGATCGCGGGTTCGAGTTCTGCCTCAGGCATGGTTGTATTGTGTGCGACCTTTCACCCCTATCATCATATCGTGTCATCCTCACAATTACCATACCGTTCCACGCAATACTGGTCGCTAATGACCTAGAAGTTGATGTGACCTTAAATAAAAAAAGAAAGAAAAGCTTGTGTAATAAAATATTAGCGTAAGACTAAGCCTCACATTTCTAACCATCTCAAGTTATTTCTAGACCGCGCAATAGGTGCTTTCTGGTATTTACCAAATGAACTAGTGGTGCTTTTCAACACATACTTTCTCGCATTGTTTCTAAATTTGCAATTTTTTGAAAATTTAAATTGTTCAACGAAAACGAGACCCGTACCACTCTTTCAAGAGTTCCTTTTCCTATCAGTGGAAACAATTTCAACATAAAAATTGGAACAGTTTCTTAGAAACTGTTTTTTTAATTGCATTAATTTAAAGCCCAAATTACGTGCAAATTACTCTTTTTCTTTAAAACGAGTAAGAAATAGATTTTGAACATCCGAAATTCCCGACATTTAAAACAAATATTTGAGGTCTGGAAAATGAAGGTGTTGGGGAGGAGGCAGACGTGGGCCGTTGCATACTTCAAAAACTAAGAAAGATGGTATTATTCCAGATTACCGAAAAAGTAAGAAGAAGCAACATTTTGAACACAGAAAGTGAATTTAGAAGGGATAGGTGATTGGTAGCGAACATGGCACAAACATGAACTTGTATGTGCTAATCAATTTCTTTTGCCTTTCGTACTTGAAGTTTTGTACTCCTTAAATGGAGAAAAATTGTGATTGAACTTTGTTTTGTTTAGGACTTGACTCCAAAATCGAAATTCTTCATATATCTTCGATGCAGACACGCCTAGGCATGTTCGCAATGAAGTCATCGACAATGATACTCAAATCAAGATCATCAAAGAATAAATTACATTTGTTAGTCAGAAAAACCATAAAAGGATGGAAAATCATTCAAATCATATTGGCATTAATTTGTTAGATAATTGTGAAGGAACAAGAATACAGCGACGTAATCCGCTAGATATAATGCACCGATTTGTGTAAAATAGATAGAAATGCTACTGTTGAGTAATGTTTTTACTCAAGCAAGTTTTCTTAAACAATTTGAATAAATTTCTGTGGAAATAAATTGCGAATAAACAGAACTATAGAAAAATGGTATGCAAAGCTACTTGCAGGAGGGGCTGTACCTCGGGCTCTAAAACCTCCCTGATGTATCGATTGCTGTTCAGATTGCCCTCAATACGTATGAGGCGAGAACGCACATTGCAGTCAATGGCGCCCCAAACCTTCGCACTTGGCGTTTGTCCGCTATGGCGCGGAACAATGCAGACTGGGAGGTTGCGATCACCACGTTAGCGTCGACCACGTACACGACGTTGTGCTACAGATTGAAGCAGGACTCGTCCGAAAACACTACATATTACCACTCAGCACACCAGTGAACACACCTCGTTCCCATTGCTGTCTGAGGCGTTGGTGGTTTCTGGTCAACGGAATCTGATCCATTGGTATGCGCACCACCAGTCCAGCTCTCAGCAGACGGCGCCGAACCGTCGATGCAGACATGACCACACCCGTTGCAGTGCTCCTGTCGAGCCAACACTGTGAACGACGCCGTTATATCGGTTACGGTCATGCAGACAAGATGAAGGGCATCTCACGCTATGGTCACATTATGAGGTCCAGTACCCGTTCGTGACCGTGAACGACCATCTTCCATCCACTGGTTCTACTTAGGCATCACTGTCGTAGCAGCACGCCCCGTTCGAGCAGCATTGTCACGGTACGACAAAACCGCGTTTTGGAGACCGATCATTCTGCCCCGTTCTAACTTACTCAGGTGCTGATATTGCGCCCTTTGACGTCGACGAGGCATACCGGCACTTGCTTGTCCGTTTTCTCGTCGTTTGACGGGTCAACACTGACTAGGTGTAGCGTAAAACTAACCTAAACTGTCACACAGAGGGACGCTGCTAGGCCAACGTGCACGCCATCTCTATTCAAATTTAATTACTTGTTATGGATACACTGTTCTAAACATCCACCGATTTTTAAGTGATTACAACCATTTCTTCTGAGTATTGCAATGTTCACAAACACCAGTGTATTATTGACATTTTTGTTTTAATTTTAAACATCGATTATTGACAACATCGATGTTTTGGCGTCGACGTCGCATTACTTCTTACTGCGCCACTAGAATGCTTTGCTGAATGTCTCCGTATGAAAAGCTCTAATGAACTCCCGACTGAGAGAACGGTTATTAACACCGCCGTATTAATTTACATGTTTTAAGTTGCATAGCATTGTAAAAACCATACATGTAAAACAATTTTAAAGTTTCATGACATTCCTGTGACAACAGAGAGAAAAGAAGAGAAGAAAAGCTTGACAGAAGTAATATACATTTTTACTTCTACGCTCCGAGTAGAGAAATGTTTATGTCAGGAAATGCGCCACTATTTTGACAGATAAACACGTTTTGAGCCCCTGAAACCATAAAAAGTTGTTGTTTTGTTGTAGACGTGTGTAATGTAAGAATGAATACTCTCTTTTCCTTCACTTAAACGATTAGTTATGCAATCTATTGCGTCTTCGCAGTACCTCAGTCAATCTTTGTTAGGTCTATCCACCGTTCTCTGCATCAGAGACTTATATTTTAGTATTTATTAAGGAAGCCTCAAAAGGGACACTCTACCTGTAGTCTCGAGGCGGGCATAGATTATCGACTTAGATTGATATAGATATTTATTATTTCTACAGATACGTTAATGCAACCTGGTGGCAGAAATGATACGTTTATGCACACAGTGGGTTGAGACGTTACCTGTATG